TAGGGACCAGCAGGTGGCCCTATATTAAAAAACACACTGAGTTTATATATGTGTGTGCCCAAAATGCTTTCTTCTCCTCTTCCTCCTCCTCCTCCTTCTTCCTGTTCTTTCTCTTTTCCTTCCTCCTTCTTCTTCCTCTTCTTCCTCTTTTTCTCCTCCTTCTTCTTCTCCCTCCTCTTTTTCCTCCTTTTCATCCTCCTCCCTCCTCCCCCTTCTTCCTCCTCCTCGCCTTCCCTCTTCTACCTTTTTTTAGAGGTTTTTGCCATAGGGCATATGCACTCACTGGAGAAAGACAGAGACCGTGAGAAAGAAAGAGAAATCACGCCCTCCTTCCCTAGGGGGGATAGCCATGCTATAATCCCTTCTCTCCATTTTTCTCCTGGGATCTTGGGCATGCACACACACACGCCTGGCACAATTTTCAAGCCACCAGGTCTGGGGCTTAAACCATAGTTGGCAATGTGGGAGTTCAGTGACAGCCGCTACAAAATCTGCTGGCCTTTGTGCCCAAACTTCTTAAAGGTGGGAGAAATGAAAGAGAAGGGATTGCAGTGTGACCTTTCCCCATCAGGGTTGCTTTCTTGCTTTCCTTCTGTCTCTGATGAGCATACATGCCCTCCAGCAGATAGATAGATAGATAGATAGATAGATAGATAGATAGATAGATAGATAGATAGATAAATAGATAGATAGATAGATAGATATTTAGTTATTTAACATTTATTTATTTATTTGTTTGTTTGTTTTAATTTGACCAGAGAGGGACAGAGTGGAGAGAGGAGAGGGAAAGTGAGAAAGCAAGTCACCAGGTCTAGAACTCAAACTGCAGTCAGCCACATGGGAGTCTAGCGCCCTTAGCTACCATGCCACCTGCTGGCCCCTATATTATTTTTTAAACAGATTTTTTTTTTTCTGTAGGGTGCATATGCTTGCCAGAGAGACAGAAAGTAAGAAATCACTCCCCATGGGAGATGGCCATGCTGCAATCCCTTGTCCTCCATTCTCCTCTTGGGATTTTGGGCGCACACACACACACACACACACACACACACACAGAGCATGTTTCAAACCACTGGGTCCAGGACCTGAACCGTGGTTGATCATGTGTGAGTTCAGTGACATAATCATTACACCATCTGCTGGTCCCAATTTTTTTTTTTTAAGACAGATTTTTGCTATAGGGCGCATGCACTCTCCAGAGAGACAGAAAGACACAGAGATAGAAAGTGACAAATCCCTCTCCCCCCAAGGATATGGCCACATAGCAATCCCTTCTTCATTCACCTCTTGGTATTTTGGGCATGCCCACATACATGCCCATCGTGAGTTTCAAGCCATTGGGTCCAGGACTAAAACTGTGGTCAGCCATGTGGAAATCCAGTGATGTAACCATTATGCCATCTACTGGTCCCCAGCAATAAATTTTTAAAAAATAAGAATAATCCCTCAATGGGGCCAGCAGGTGACTTGGTGGTTGGTGTGCTGGACTCCCACATGACCGACTGCAGTTTGAGTCCTGGACCTGGTGCCTTTCTTTCTCACTTTCCCTCTCTCTTCTCTTTCTGTCTCTGGTAAGTGCACATGCCCTATAGCAAAATTTGAAAATAAATAATTTCTTTAAAAAATAATCCCTTGATAATCTAAAATTTTTTAAATATTTATTTATTTTACTTAATTTCATTATTATTACTTATTTTTAATTTCACCACAGAGAGAGAGAGAAGGGGAAAGTGAGAAAGCAAGCCACCAGGTCCAGAACTTGAACCACGATCAGCCATGTGGGAGTCCAGCATCTTAACTACCACTCCACCTGCCAGCCCCTAGAATTTTTATGGAGGAAAATGAAGGAATGCTTTGAGTACAAAGCATATTAATAATATATGCCTTTGGAGCCAGCAGGTGGCATAGTGGTTAAGACACTGGATTCCCATATGACTGATGTGGTTCAAGTCCTAGACCCAGTGGCTTGAATCTCATGTGAGACACGTGTGCGTGTGTTCCCAAAATCCTGAGAGGAGAATGGAGGAGAAAGGATTGTGGTATGGCCATCCCTCCTTGGGGGTGATTTGTTGTTTTCTGTTTCTCTGTCTCTCTGTCTCTCCAGCAAGTGCAGGCACGCTATAGCAAAAAAAATCTCTTAAAAAAATAAAATAAGGAATGTATATGTTTGACTTTTCTCTGTATTTATTTCTTTTTAAAACGAAAATTGTGAGATTCTAGTGAACTTAGCCATGTCTCTTGATTGCTTCATTTATTCAGTATCGGATGTAAGTCAGGAAGGTAAGGGGAAGTAGACATTCAAACCACGAGTTACAACAATCTAAGAGCAGATGATCTCTTGGTTACTTCCTGCTTAGCAACCAGGTTTATGATCACTATTTAACCATAATCATTAGTATGTTACTCCAATCATTACCTAATATGCACATCAACTTTTCTAGGAACAATGGTTTATAGTTCTCTTTCTTCATAGGAAGTGCCCGAAAGCTGGAATTAAGGATCAGACTGTTCTGTAGGAATGTTCTACTTGATCATTGGGCATATCGAAGTGATTCTGCCTTTTGGCTGACACGAATATTAAAACCATGGCCTATGGTGAACCAGGCAAGATTACTGTATATCATTTTTGGGCCAATATGTCCTCAGGATGGTAAGCACCCAGTTTGATGAGATATATATAAATATTTTTTCATTCTGCAGATATTTATTCAGGGATATATATTAAATAATGGACTAGTTACTTTTACTCTAGGAAGCATATTTTTATAACTGCTCGGTTTCATCATTCCTAATTACTAAGCTGTGTTTCATCATATCAAAAACATATATACTGCATTAACTTGTATATAACCTAACTGCAATACAGAAATTGTTCTGCTGTAGGCCATTACAAATATATTCCTGTCATCTCTTGTTTACCTAAAATAGATGCTTTTCATTTTAAATGTTAGCTTAATTCAAAGTTATATTTGCTATTGGAGGGGACTAATAGTGCAAGTGGAGCAAAATGGTAGCCAGAACTGATGCTTTACTTAATTTTGAATGTGTAATATGATGTTTTGCCCGTTTTTTTTTTTTTTTTTTTTTTTGCTTCTCTAAGTTTTGCTTAGACCAATGTTAAAATTATCATGCATTTCTTCAGTTCACATTGACTTGTGTCAGGAGGTAACCAATTTAAAGTATGTTGAGTAGCAGCAGGAAGCCAGTCTGGAATTAAAATTTGTGCATAATCCACAAGATAATTGGTCATAAGTAGATAATAAAAAGTTAGCCAGATTACTGTATTTTGATATAAATGTTCAAAATACTCTCAAATATAGCATGGTCTCTCTTTTTTAAAAAATTTTTTTTCTAGCATCCTCTCGTTTAAAGATATCAGTGGATTTTATTTTATTTTAGTAAGATTACATTGATTGCTGGGCCAACAGGTGGTGTGGAGGTTAAGTTGCTAGATCCCACAAAGCGGCCTCCACAGTTTGAATCCCAGACTTGGTAGCTTAAACATCATGTCAGACATTGTGTACCCAAAATCCTGAGAGAATGGAGAAGGGATTGAGGGTTGGCTATCATCCCCTGGGTGGCGATGTCTCACTTTCCTCCTCTCTCTTCCTCTCTCTCTGTCTCTGTCTCTCTCTGATGAGCGTACATGCTCTATACCAAAACTAAAAAAAAAAAAAAAACCTAAAAGTAAAAAAAGATAACATCAATTGCTTATTCCAATTTCCGTTACAGGATAGCATTATCTTTGAACTAGAAACATCATTTTGCTTGCAAAACTGCCTTTTCTTCACTTCAATTTAGCTATTGTTGCTGTGCTTCATCACATCAGTAAGAGACATTCAAATTTATAACATTATCAAAATTGACCTATCATCATGAAAGTTACTTAAATAAGTAATAGTGTTCCATTATGCAATCTACTTTTTTTTTTTAAGCAATCCATGAAGTCTTTATCCCAAAGACAACTGTTCTGTGATAACCTAGTTTTTTGTTTCAATTCAGGACAGGTAATTTGGCAGAAAATGACAGAAGGACCTACGGATGAATATAGTCTGAAAGGTTTGGCTGAAGCCATCAAGTTACTGTATGATACAGGCACCAAAGAATGGACAGCAGATGATGTCATCAGTCTTGTAGATGAACTGTCAGGTAAAATATATATGTTTACTAATATAGAATATTATAAATTTATTATTAGAATGCAGTTATAAAATCATAAGGATAGGGACCAGCAGTTGGCATAGTGGTTGGGGCACTGGACTCCCATAAAATTGACCACAATTCAAATCCCAGACTTGGTGACTTGAAACTCAAGCCAGGCACATGTGTGTGTGAGCCTAAAATCCTGAGGAGAATGGAGGAGAAGGGATTGTGGCATGGTCATCCCCCCAGGGAGTGATTTCTTCCTTTCTGTCTCTGTCTCTCTAGCAAGTGCATGCATCCTATAGCAAAAATCTCCTCTCTAAAAAAAAAAAAAAAAAATTGTAAGGATAATTCTACAAATAACAAAGTGCCTCTTAGAAATCACTGAGTACTTGGGAACCAGCAGTTAGTGTAATGGCTATGTCGCTGGACTCCCACATAGTCGACCGCGGTTCGTGTCCCAGACCCGGTGGCTTAAAACTCACGCCAGGCACATGTGCGTGTGTGCCCAAGATCCCGAGAGGAGAATGGAGGAGAAGGGATTGCGGCGTGACCATCCCCCCTGGGGGGTGATTTCTCGCTTTCTGTCTCTCTGTCTCTCTCTCTCTGTCTGGCAAGCGCACGCGCCCTGTAGCAAAAAACCTCTCCAAAAAAAAGAAATCACTGAATACTCCAAAATATTTAAAGAGTTAAGCATTATGTTTGAATAGAATACATATAATCAGTCACCTTATTATCCTTCATAAACACAGATTTATTATACATATTTGAACACTTCATAGTTTAGCTCAATGACTCTCATTTTGCGAGTTTGCAGAAATACCTTCCTAAGTTATGAAGAAGAAAGCCTTCTGCTGCTGATCCAGGAGAGGTGAAACAATTTTTCCCATTCCTGCGTATTCCTTTAGATTCTAACGTTTGCAAGGGTTTTTTTTCCCTTACACAGAATTAGACCACCTTGCCTGCTGATCTATGTGTAGGAGAATTGCTTTGACTGTATAACTAGTATGTTTGTAAGATCTACCAAGACAGTGCAATAATGTCTGTCTCTGGCTAAATGCTGTAATTGAAAAACTAAAACACTTTTTCTAAGCCTTTCCCTTGGCACTGATTGTATTTCCAATAAAGTGATAGAATATTGCGCATATTCAATGATGTTTACTATAGCTATTATGTAATTTCTCATTAAATAACTGTTCTTCCTCTAATAAAAGTGGTTCCCCGTGAGTGGCTTCTGGAGAATAATGCACGTCTCCTAATCCTGAGTGGGAACAATATCTGTTTCACTTTCATGGCTAGTAAAGCTGTGAATGGACGAGTCATTGAACTGGCAAGGCTCACAGTCTTTTTGGCCCTGGTAAGTTAAAAAATGAGTTTTTTCTCTAGTAAGTTGTTTGATATTACAGTTTACCTATCAGGGAGCTTCCCTGAAGGAATTTAAGACAAGACATTTTGAAAGAATAAGTACTTAAGTATGTATTTTTAAGTTTATTTCTTAAAATATTAAAATATAGGGGGCCAGCAGGTGGCATGGTGGTTAAGGGCACTGGACTCCCACATAGCTGACCATGGTTCGAGTCCAGGACCTGGCAACTTGCTTTCTCACTTTCTCTCTCTCTCTGTGTCTCTCTGTCCCTCTCTGGTCAAATTAAAATAAATCAATAAATCAATAAAGTTAAATAAAATCAATTTTAAAATATTAAAATATATATAAGCTGTATTTGTAATCATTTCTCACACAAATTTCTTCTCATATATAGACTGTCATTATACAATATACAATATACATTATACAATATGACTGAGCATTAAAAAGAAAGCATCCCAGGACCAGCAAGCGGCATTGTGGTTCAGGCACTAGACATTCCCATCCCACATGGCTGATCACGGTTCGAATCCTGGACCTGGTGGCTTGCTTTCTCACTTTCTCTCCCTCTCTGTATCTCTCTCCACTTAAATTAAAGTAAATAAATGAATAAATTAAATAATTAAATAATTATTTTAAAAAAAGGAAAGAAAGAAAGCACCTCATGGGACCAGCAGATGGTGTAATGGTTACATCGCTGGACTCCCATATAGTTGACAACTGTTCAAGTCACAGACCCGGTGGCTTAAAACACATTGGGTACAGGATAGCAGCATGGTCATCCCCCCTGGTACGTGCTTTCTCACTTTCCTTCTCACTCTCTCTCTCTCACCTTGTCTCTCCAGCAAGTGCATGAATCCTATAGCAAATTAAAAATACATAAATAAATAGTGTTCTGGCCCCCAAAAAAGAAAACACCACACTGGGTGCATGTGCTTGCGTGCCCAAGATCCCAGGAGGAGAATGGAGAAGAAGACATTGTGGAGTGGTCATCCACCTTGGGGAGTGATTTCTCATTTTCTGTCTCTCTGACAAGCATATGTACCCTATAACAAAAATCTCTCTGTTAAAAAAAAAAAGGAAAGAAGACATTCCAGGGGCCAGCAAATGGAGTGGTTAAGATGGTCTTCCATGTGGCTGACCATGGTGTAAGTCCTGGACCTAGCTAGAGCTTGAAAATCAAAGTCCTGAGAGGGGAAAGGAGGAGGGTGATTTGATCTGCTTCATAATCATCATTGGGTAGAGTAGGCAAGGAGAGGATGTTGGAGTGAATGGAGGTAGAGTTAAAACAAGCTGGGTACTGAGGATTCATACCATTCTCTCTACTTTCATATCGTTAAAATGTTTCAAAATAAAATATATTTAATATGCTGACTCTGGGCCATACCCAGTATGAGATTCTAAGACTATGAAAATGAATAGAGGGAACCAGCAGATGGCATAATGGTTACATCATTGGACTCCCACATAGTCCACTGCAGTTTGAGTCCTAGACCTGGAGACTTAAAACTTGTATCAGGTTCGTGTGCGTGTGTACCCAAAATCCCAAGAGGAGAATGGAAGAGAAAGGATTGCAGTATGGCCATCCTTCCTGGAGCATGATTTCTTACTTTCTGTCTCTCTGTCTCTCTGTCTCTCTGGAAAGGACATGTGCCCTATAGCAAAAATCTCTCTGGGGAAAAAAAAAAAAAGAAGAAGCAAATTAATAGAGCAAATCTCTGACTACAAGCTGCTAAGAGTTTTTAAATAAATATCAAGGTACACATAAATACAGTGTAACTTGTACAAGATATATATCCAAAAAGGGGTTGCTAAGAGAGACAGTATCAGGTGAGAATTAAGGACAGAGAGAACATTACAGTGGATAAAAGTTTTTTAAAAACTTTTAAAAGTTTTTTATGAATTGGAGGCCACTTGTTGGTTTCTGAGGCGTAAAACTTGACAACTTTGCGTCTGGGAAGCTGCTCCTGGCGACTCTGCAGCCGTCACCATGCCACAAAACAAATATATTGAATTACATCATAAATGCTATGGATACCGTTTGGATTACCATAAGAAATGAGAAACAAGGAAAGTTGGGAGTATCGTGAATGTTCAAAGAAGGCAAAAAAGACGATTGGTCTGAAGGCTAAGCTCTATCATAAACAGTGCCATGCTGAGAAAATACAAATGAAAAAGACTATCAAGATGCATGAAAAGAGGAACACCAAACAGAAGAATGATGAAAAGACTCCACAAGGAGCAGTCCCTGCCTATCTGTTGGACAGAGAAGGACAGTCCCGAGCTAAAGTACTTCCCAATATGATTAAACAAGAATGGAAAGAGAAAGCAGGGAAGATGGGAAGTCCCTCTATCCAAAGTTTGAACCCAGGGAGAAACAGAAGCATTAAAAGTTATTTAAGGGGGAACCAGCAGTTAGCGTAATGGCTATGTCGCTGGACTCCCACGTAGTCGACCGCAGTTCGTGTCCCGGACCCGGTGGCTTAAAACTCATGCCGGGCGCGTGTGCGTGCGTGCCCAAGATCCCGAGAGGAGAATGGAGGAGAAGGGATTGCGGCGTGACCAT